TTAGTGAAACCTGGTTAACACCAGAGTTTAATGACTCGGAACTAGGGCTACAGAACTACTCAATTTATAGATGTGACAGAGACAACATAGCAACAGGCAAATCCAGAGGAGGAGGTGTTTTAATTGCGATCACAAAAAGTTTAAAATCGCACCAAGTCGAATTGAGGAATTTGACATCTGGGCATGAAGAGGTGTGGGTCTCTGTATCTATTGGTAAAATTAAGTCCACCTACTTCTGTGCAGTATATTTTCCTCCCCTTAGCAATTTGGTGGAATATGAAAATCACTGCAACAATATTGAAAACTTCAGTGATAGCTCTGATGTCATGTACATCATGGGAGATTACAACCTGCCCCATCTTCAGATGTTGGATGAAACCAACCTCCATGATAATGGTATTGGTAGACGGAATGCCTCCGGTGATCTTCTTGTTAGCTCCATGCTGTTTTCTAACTGCACTCAAATAAACTCGATAAAAAATTGTAACAATGTTTTACTAGATCTTGTATTTACCAATAATTCTAATTTTACTAAAGTAAATTGTGCTAATGATATACTTCTGCCATGTGACAAACATCACCCAGCATTTGTTGTAAGTATACAAAATATTAGCTCTTATAAACCTTTGCAATTTGAAGAACAAATCTATGATTTTAAAAATGCAGATTTTAATGTAATCAACAATTTATTAATTAATTTTAACTGGGATGCCTTATTGGTTGATCAATTGGATAATGATGTTGAATGTTTTTATGCTGTTCTCTATGATTGTATTGATACTTATGTGCCAAGATTGCTAATAAAAAGTAATTTTAAATTTCCTGCATGGTTTAGTCCTGAACTCAAAAGTATGATTTATGAAAAAAAAGAGCTGCATGCAAAATATAAGAGAACTAGTTCTAATATTGATTATGGTTTATTCTGTCATTTACGCAGATTGTGCAAAGAAAAGGTTCACCAAGATTATAGTCTTTATATAAAAAATATTGAGAATAATCTAAAAGGTAATATTAATGTTTTCTGGAAGTTCATTAAGTCTAAAAATAATCAAAATAGTATTCCATCAATTGTTAAGTATAATGAGGAAACTTTTGATAGCGGCAAAGAAATTGCAAATGCTTTTGCTAAACATTTTTCTAGTGTATATGAAACACCAAGTCCTTCACAGAGCCTTAGCACTGTTGCAAAAAGTTTCAGCTCGCCAAACTTAAATTTGAGCAGTGTATATATAAAAATTTCTGATATTTGTGAAAAGCTGGCTAGCCTGGACTTGTCAAAGGGACCGGGTCCTGATAGTGTGAGTGCATTGTTTCTTAAGAACTGTGCTTTCTCACTGTCTAGGCCTTTATGGATTTTATTTAATAAATCTTTAGCCCTGGGAGTTTTTCCAAAGAAATGGAAAACCTCCTACATTATTCCAATTTTTAAAAATTGTGGAAATCGAGAGAATGTTGAAAATTACAGGCCCATTACATTGATATCGTTAATTCCAAAGGTTTTTGAATCATTTGTAGCAGATTTTTTGAAGGAAAAATTTAAAAATGTTATAATTGCACAGCAGCATGGTTTCTGTGAAGGAAAATCTATAACTTCTAACCTTTTAGTTTATCATTCACATATAGTTGAGGCATTGGAAAATGGGCAATCTGTTGACTCAATTTATACAGATTTTGGGAAAGCATTCGACAAGTTGAATATAGATATTCTCATTGAAAAGCTCTCTTGTTACGGATTGCATGGAAGTTTATTGAACTGGTTAAGTTCATATCTTTTTGAAAGAGAGCAATTTGTAAAAATTAAAAACTGTCTCTCAAATCCAATTGCTGTCTTGTCTGGTGTACCACAAGGTGCGCACTTGGCACCCATTTTATTTATAATTTTTGTCAATGACATAGCCCAATGTTTTAAATTCTGTTCTTTTCTTATCTATGCTGACGATGTCAAGATCTATTTACCTCTTTCTGATAATAACTCAACATTAAAGATTCAGAGTGACCTTGATCAATTTGTTAAATGGAGTGAAGAAAATAGAATGATCCTTAACACAGACAAATGTAAATACATTCAATTTTCAAAGTCTAACAATAATATAGTCAGCAGTTATCACATAAATAATACCCAACTTCAAAATGTGAATGTTGTTAAAGACCTGGGTGTTATATTTGATAGCAAAGTAACATTTTATCAGAACATAGAGGTTATAAGAAATAAAGCTTTAAAAATGTTGGGCTTCATAAAAAGAAATACATCTGAATTTACTAACATTGGAGCTATAGTAACTCTCTATACTTCACTGGTGCGATCTCATCTAGAAAATTGCAGCAGCGTGTGGTCTCCATATTATGTAACTTATCAGGACATGCTTGACGGGGTTCAGAGAAAATTTCTACGATATATAGCTTACAAAAAACACATTTCTATTGAGAATTTAGACTATAATGCTCTTGAAAAGGAGTTAAGGATTGGATCCCTAAGAGCCAGGAGAGATTCAGCAGATATTGTTTTTGCTTATAAATTAATTCATGGTGTTTACCACTGCCCAGACCTGCTTCTAAAGCTAAATTTTTATGTTTCTCCTAGGCATTTAAGAGAACGCAGATCCTTTGAACCTTGTCGGCATAGAACTTTGTATGGCTCGAATAGTAGCATGGATAGGATAATGAGAAATTGTAATGACTGTGATATAGACCTTTTTAATACTTCACTATGCTCTCTCAAAAAGTTCCTTAAAGATAGAAATCTTAGCTAAAGTTTTAAAATGTCTCAATTGCTGGTGATGTTTGCTGTGTTGTTTAGTTGTTCAGTTTTTTTAGTTTTTTTTTTTTTTTAGTATTTGTTTGTAACTATTTTTATGCACGTTTTAATATTTTAATTTAGTAAATAGTCAAACTTTATGTTCATATGTTAGATTCTTTATTTATGATGTGTGTGAATTTTATTAGCTTAAGATTGTACTTTTACAACCTGTAACCGAATGGGTTTATCCCGTAAATTTGTAAATAAATAAATAAATAAATAAATAAATAAAATTGGTTCGAGCGCATGCAGATGTGTATTAATCTTCGTGGAGAATACTTCGAAAAACAATAAAGTCATTTAAAACTACATACCGTGTTGTTTTATTTCCAAATGCAGAACTTAAAAGACATCCCCCGTAAAAGCAGATTCAGATAGACAACAATAATCAAATATGGAAGATTCACACTATTGCTTGTATTAAATAAAACTTTAATATGTAATATCATACTTGGACTTTATAAGAGACAAAAAATGAGGTAAATAAAAAAGGTTACTAAAGGAAAAAAAATCAGTCGTCAGGAAAGTTGCCAAAAAAATGTAGTGTAATTTATGTAGGGGTGGGGGGTAGAGTTGTTTTGTAAAATTCAAATATTAGATCATCTAGCAAAATATGTTTTCCAAATTTCATTCAAATTGGACTATTGGTTACAAAAATTTCTGAAAAAATTTGTTTCCAAATGACAACTTTGATGGCCACCTATGGACAAATCAACCACTTTTGCATAAATGTGAATCATCTCTACAAGACTTATTTTTAGTCTAAAAATACATGGACTCCTTGAACATGGAATATTGGGACCCCCTGTATTTATATTTTACCATTTGCCAAATTCTCTTTTGAATACTACCAAGGTGTTATGCCATCTACAGCACCTATATTACATTCAAGCATTTTGGGGCTTGCTGGATCAAGGTCTGAAAATGTCTTTATACCTTGTAAGGAGACATTCTTAAGATTGAAATAAAACAAATTATAAAAAACTGTTATGATGCTAATAGCAAAAGATAAATTTCTTCCAAGAGATGAGTGTTAATATTAATGTGAAAACTATTAACACACTCTCTGTCTACGCAGACTGGATTAACTGTTCCCAACAGCCAAATACTTTTTTCACAAATCAGACTAATATTGATATATGTAATCATTTTTAGTTATTTATATTGGTATCGAATTTGAAAAAGGTGTATATTGGTAGAGAAAAAAAATTGTCCCCGATCGGAGCCGGCGGCATTGAAACCAGGACTATTCGTATCATTGCTCATGGAAACCGATGACTCCGATCGGAGCCGTCGGCACATGGCGAAGATCACCGATTGGCTCTGATCGGAGTCAACCGCAGTGAACGTGTTAAGAAATGAATGACACTAAAACATGTTCAACTTCATTATTTAATATCTGTAATTCGGACTGGTCATGCCTAACCAGCACCAAATAAACTCACTGAAGGTTGACACAATTTGCTGATATCAAAAACGAACAATAACTGTGTAGGAGAGGCAAGGTCAAAAAGAATAATTGGAAAATTAGAAAGCTATAATAAAACAATACAATCATTGACATGAAATTACTTATTGTACAGATGTAGTATTGAATCACAACTACTGTTAGTTGCTTGGCAGTACTGTGATCAAAATGTGATTTGAACAAATTGCCCTAGGGATGCTCAGTAATTAGTTGCATGTGCAGATTATCAATTCTCATATTATCTCTAACACACAGAAAGATAAAATGCCTAAAATAGTTTAGTCAAATACAAGTATTAAAAACTACATCTGCTTATCATGATGCAATAATTATTGTGTAATTTGATCAAATATCTAATAAATGTAATTAGCTACAATTATCACTATATTATTTTTTGACTTATAAAATCTATAAAAATATGAGTAAAAACACAAAGAAAATGTTGAGTACAAATTTTAGTTTTGGCAAAAAATGCAAGAAAATTTATATCAACTTCACATATTTTACATCTTCCACATCTTTCATATCAGATACCAGATCTCATTTTAGGGATAAACATGTATATCAAATTGCTTGGGAAATAAAAAGTAAGTACTTCAATGGGTATCAATAAGTGTAAATACAAGATACCAATAATCAAAAACTGATAAAACATGAGAGATCTTGATAAAGATTAGATTTAAATCAAGAGTTTTTACATACAGAATTATCATATCTCCAAGTCACCAGCTTTACCTGTAAAATATTCCACATTATGGTTGAGAAACTTAGTTTTCTTGATGGGCACATTCTTTTTCATCCATTTGGCCACCTTAAATTCTTCTTTTGTGGGTTTGTCCTCAATCTCTTCCCCAGGATGCACATATTCCTAGAAAAACAACATATTCAGCTATAGCATTTCTAAGTTGCTGAAAAGTGTGCACAAGTTGGTAATGTTGATTTAGTCATGTCAAATTAAAAACCATAAAGTAACCAGTCCAGCTTTAAAAAGTATTTTTAATATACAATTTGTATTTTTCATTTCATAATTCAGAATTGTGTACATTACAACAAATTATTAATTATTTTTTGCTAGAATACTGACACTGAAGGACATAGTCATTGAATATGATAATTAATTAAGATTAGGACTTATTTTGTACCTTATGGAATTATATACAGATAAATTTTATGCAATATTTCAACTCAAATTCTGTATTTGGCTTAAATAGATAAATATAATTCACTATAACATTCTATCATTTGAAACAGTTACAGAAATGGTAAGGTAACAGTTTGAAAATAAATATACTATAATTAACAATATAGTTAATTAACTATATAAAATTGTGGATTTTCAATAATTGCTTTTTGACATACTTCACAAAAATGGAATGAACATTTTTTTTGTTCTTTTTCAACAGAGAAGTATCTTCAATGCATGTCTAAATTTTCAGTTGAGTTTGTTTTTTTCTAAATTGTTTTTCTGAGAAACAGGATGATGAACTGTTAATCCCTCACAAAGGCTATAATTATCGGATCCTAATTATACCTCACAGATGCACCAATCTTCACTGCTTGCCAACAGATGTCTTGAAGCAAAATAAACAAAAAGAGGACCAGTGCCCCCCTGACTTCTTGTTTATAGTAGGTATTTGAATAGCGAGTAGATTTTTGCATATTACAGATAATTTGCATAGGGGACTGAACTAGATCAACAGTGTCGCTTGTCCCGTTATTTGCGATAGATTTCCGAAAGTGCAAAAAATATAATGATTAGGTGCAGTTTTGCAAAGAAATACTTTGCAATTAGCATGAGGCACATTTAAAATATTATAATCTACTTTTGTTAATAGCAACAACAGTAATAACGTCATCCATTCTAATAAACATATTTTAAGCTGTGGGGGTCGCAAAACCAAAATTTACGACTTGACAAACTCGTTCAAGAGAACCAGCTCGTATATATGAAACATGATTGAAAAACGATCTACTATATGTTTGAAATTAATTAAAAAAGCTCACATCTTTTCGCTTCTTGCTTTTCTTTCTTTCGGCCATTTTCACAACTCACAATTTAACTAGTGACGGAATTGACATTTGACGTACCTTCATCTTGACATTTACGTCAGGTCGCCAGCGTCGTCGCACGCTGGTCGCACGTAAAGTCATATATGTTATGAAGTTTAATTTTTCAAAGCATTTATTAATTCAAAACAAGCGGAATTCATACAATGATTCATATGATAAGCCGTTTTAGAGTTGATGCTACAAATTCTTAAATGTTTCGCCGTATATATAGCATTAGGGAACACATCCGTATACTTGAACATAATCAGCGCCGTGGCGAAATGCCACTACTCGTCACAAGATTTGCGAATCTAGATTTTGTCCAAGAAATGAATACAGAAGAAATCGTTAAATACAAATGTGACGAAATATTGCAAACATAGCAAACAATTTAGTATCAGGGTTGATTGAAACAAGTGTATTGCATTTATATTTACGATCTTTGCACGAAACTTTTTTCAAAGGAAGCAATATTTATCCTACTGCAACTTTCGGCATTTTAAGTGCTTAACTTATTATGCAAAGTTGACATAATTGCTGACGTATTTAATAAATCGCCAGTATGATGTGGCTGTATAAGCATCCTCCATCGGCACGGGTATCATGTAGAAACTATAAATTTGTCAAAAAAAGATGTCATCTTGCAAACTAGTTAGTTTTTAGGGCGCAGTCATTCCACGTTTGCTCACTACGATCTACAATAAACTACACGCATTATTGGTTGCATAGATTTTGTGAGGCCGAGTGGTCCATGTCTGTAGTTTTTATCCCTAAGAAGAAAGTTGGTTGAATGTTGAATAGCAAGATCGCATCTGGATGATTATGTGTATGGGTCTGCATGTGTATAAAATCAGAGATATTTGCTGTGTGAGAAAATCATTACTGGAATGTGCTGCTAGTAAAGTATATCTATTAGCTGTGCCCGAAGAGTTATTTTTATGATGTGCTTTCTGAAGAGAGGTTATATTCAAAGTTATGAATTACGAAAAACTGAGGAGAATTACGGGAAATCATCACCGCGCCCGCGTTGTGTGTAATTACTGTTAGCGTGTATATGGCTTGTACTTCGACACTGTACAGTGAATGTAATTATTTCTCATCTCTCTCATTTTTGAAATTCAGCAAATTTGTATATGTAATTTCCAGAATGGATAAGAAGTAGTGACTGCGCAACTAATTTCTAGCTTTGAATCTATATAACACCGAATAACAAGCTGGTGCATGAGTGAACATGGGGTTCCAAAAATGAGTACTGAGTAGCTCAGGTGCATCAAACTCTAGAGCACTGAAACAGTATTGACAGGTGGTGGTTAGCTCGAAGTTACTCCGAGTAACACAAACACGAATTCCTGTCTGGCTGCTTTTACCTAGTCTGAATGAACATCTGTTCTCACGAGCGTTAAATTGTCGCGATGTAAAAGAGCGCGCGTTGAAACGAACGCGCGTCGATAGTGTGAACTGTTTTATTTATATCAATGTAATGTTAGACGTGGATTTATTCGCAGCGCAACAATTTAACGACCAAGTGTACTGGCAGATGTTTACCAACAGCTTACCATAACCATAAACAAAACGTGGAAGCGCACAATATTATTGGAGACGTATGGCAACAGGGCAATAATGTATGTTCCATTGGCTGCGTTCAGCACAAACATCAAAACCAAACTGACCTTCAGCTGACATCTACAAAACGCAGTGGCGTATTTTCACTTTTATCCCTGTTGGGAAGACCCATCTGTTTTTGTTTGTCAACAAATCATTTATTCTAAGTATATTTTCTAATTTACATAACTAACTGCTGCGCATTTGTGATTGTGAAAGTGCACTTCTAGCTGATCTTATGATTCAGTAAGTAGAAAGATTTAGGTCGAATTTTTGTTAAATAATAACAAAAACAAATCCTAATCTGTACACGTATTTTTAAGAAGAAAACAATTAATTAGTGACCAAAAAGGTTTGTTTTTGTTTGCCAGAGTATGTACAAAAATATAACGAATCGATCTGTGTAGTATTTATAGTCTGTTATCACATCACAATATTGATAACTACAATTTTTCTGGAGCACACGTATTGTTATTCATAAAAGATCGCTGTATAATTAAAAGAATCGACTAATAGACGCCTGATTAATGTTTTAACTTTATAGAAAGATGTGTTAAAAGTGAATAGTCAAGAGGATAATGGCTTTACTTTTTATGAGAAGATCGAGTCGGACTTTGAATAATGTAGCTAGTTTTGGGATATTTACAAAGAAGGCAGATATTAATTATAAGGTATGCCCTTGTAATAATCATCATAACTTGTAATATTGTGTACAAATTCTCTTAAAATTCTTTTCAATAGGATTGCTACAAAATATTGGGTATTGATGAAACTAGTGATCAGGAACAAATACGAAGAGCATATTTGAGTCTAGTCAAAAGATACCATCCTGATAGTGGAACAGATGAAGCTTGTGCAGAGAAATTTCAACAGGTATTTACTCAATCTTTGATATATTTATAAATTCTTATTTTTTAATCTTTTGTTATGAGCCCTAAGGTTGACAAAGACACAAAGTAGTACCAGCATAACATTTTTCCTCATGCAAAATTTATAAGTAAGATATGCATCATTAATGATAATCAGCTAAACATCATATAACATAAGAATTTGTGTTGTTTCATGTGTATCACCTAAGCAGACATTCTCCATATTATTCAGTTTCCAAGAAAATGTGCTGAACTGTATATTTTTGACAGGTAGATAACGCTTTCAAGACTTTAATTAACAAAAAATCTAAAGAAAGATGGGATGTGGAAGAAGGAGTCATAGTCAACCCTGAAGAACACCCTGATATCAAGGTAAACATCTATATTTTGCATGCAGCAAAATCATATCAAGTGAGGTCAGAATAATCTAAAAATCACAAAATGTAGTGGACAGTTTTCAATTTTCTTCAGTACTTATTGTTGAGTACTGGAAAAAAATATATACAAACAATCTGATATCATTTCTCTTACAGATTAAACTTCTGTTTGTAAATTTTTAATAAAAGGTTTTTTTATTAAATTTTAATGCTTATGTTATGAATCTTCATCTACTATAAAAGATATTGTCATTACATTGTAATTCATAAATGGGGGTATTTAGTAAGCATACAAAACCAAGCCCTTTTGGTTTTCACTGATGAATATTGTGACCTTCTCTACCCAGCATTGAGTGAACATCATTAATTATCTTAAATGGTGTGTCATATGACGGTATAGTATATGAATATGACAATGAAAAAATGGTGACGCGTTTTGAGGTCGAATTTGATCCACAAAAAGTGTCAGTTGGTACCCGCACGTGTTCTAGCATCAAATCAATGTCAAATTTCATTCCTAGCATACAATTTATTTGGGAATTCAGTCTTTATCTAGATCACAGAAGTTTTTGAAAGACTGTTCTAGTTGAGATCTCAAAATATTACTGCACTTTAGGGCAAAATTTTCATGTTCATCTCCAGTTACACAATTCAAATATGACTGACAAAAAGACTACGATTTTATGAGTTTGAGAATGTTGAAGGTTCCAGGTTATATTGAAGTAGTCTGATGGTCTGATTTGAAATTTATGCATCCAATTAACCCAGGAAATCATTCATATGACATGCTTCCAAAACACAGTACTGTACATTGATGAACAAAAAGCGTCCTAGCGCTCATCCGGTTTCGATGGATGGCCGAGTTCTGCCAAAGAGGCGTTCATTTCGGCCGGTCGGAGACCAGATCACCGAGGACTTGATCTGGCACGAACACATCTCGCCAATAGCGGGAGCTGCTGGAAAAAAACTAGGCTATTTTTTAGGGCTAAGAATTACTTTTCTCTGCATGACCTTTTTACTCTATACAAGGCCCAAATAAGGCCTAACCTCGGATATTGCTCACACGTTTGGGGTGCTGCCTACGCCAACGGACTTTGCACCTATCCTAACAATGTCGAACTCCGTTCCCAATTCTACTAACCTTAGTCAGTTCAAAAATCGGATTAACAAAATTTCTTTGGGATCCTCATAGCAGCCGCGGTGTCCCGGCATTTAGGCTACTGCCTGCGGGGACGGTATAAAAAAAATTTCAGATATGGACGTGTTGTTGAAAACATTTTCACTGAAGACTACAAAATATAACAGGGCTGTATGGCAAACATGACATTTTCATCTCGCCAGAATACAAGCAAATGAAACTTGATACATTAATTTGGGCCGCAGGATACAAATTGAATCATTTTGAAAATTCTTCGCTCCTTCCTATAATATTTTTTTGTCTCTTTTCAGCACACGGCCCCTCAACACAGACAATATTTAAGCTACGATGGAATTGGCTCTGGCACCCCTTTTCAAAGACAAAAACAATATTCTAAATTGCGTGCCATGCATGCGGCAGTCAACGTCATGGAACATAAAATACAGAAAGCGGCTGCAGATGAAAAGGCTGTTTTGGATAAGAATAGGATCCATGAAACGTGGGAAAAAGTGCCTCTTAATCATAAAGTCAAGACAAAGTGAGTAGATTTTTTGTGTAAAAAGTTGCTTTAATGCTTCTCACTTCATATGGTTGTCGAAGGGAATGAGCACTGACAAGCCAGTGCATGGATGTCAGAATCATAGCTCACACACGCTTAAGGATTGGCTCGCGCGGTATTCTTTTTCCCTTAGGGTCATTAATCTCAGCACTTGGTATAGTAAGTCGATCTGTTCACTTATTCCGTATATAATTGCCAATAAACCGTGATGCAGGGTCCCACTGATGTTGGTCCTTAGGTCTACATAAAACACGTTCTACGTCGCCTTGCATCAAAATGATAATGCACGTATTTAGATCTTTGACGATTAATGAGTCACAATAAATAACAGCTCAAGAAAAATATTTTCAATAAACTCATTACTTCCGAGCAACTATCTGTCCTGTCATCTTTTGATCTAATGTATCTCTTGAATTAAAGGGAACTGTCGATAAGGCTAACCAAATGTTTATGTTCTAATAACTGTTTCCTGCTACTCGAAATTATTTATTTGTTTACGACCAAATATGTGTCGTCAATGTGTATCTACGTCCATTATATCCATATCGATTATTATTTTATCGCTTATTTTCTGAAAAAAATATGATCTCATATAATTCTAATTATAAAGAATAAAAACATTTATTTCATTATCCGCTCACAGTAATGTATTGTCGTGTATAATTTTCAATTTGGTGTAAATAATAAAGCCGGTTTTGGATGAAGATTAAAAAAATCAGAATACAGTAGACATTGAAAAAATAGAACCATAAAGGTGCTCGTCCACAAATCCAAACTGCACGCAACGGACGCTTCGCACCACACAGATTTTAGATCGGCATCTGACAGACGTCACACATTGCACTATTGGCAATCATAATAGGATGACGTCATACGGTTGCCTAATTAGTGGACGCGTCACCTTAAATTAGGACATAGTCCCGCGTAATTCGGCGGAGTTATTACGTAAAAAAACTATGTAATGTCAAAAAATCGATAAAAGGTCAACTTGTGCACTAGGTAGCCGCTAGTTGATTCCGCATCTACTCGAAGTGAGCCTGAAGCGAATGTCATCTAGTTCAAAGGTGACATTTTATAGGAAAACCTACATATTGTCATAAAACATTGATGTAATGTCACTTTTCAAGTTAAGTAATACGGGTACCGGGACTGCAAATCCTTATTCCGTTTCTTCCATTGCTTTTGGAACTAAGTATAAATAATCTTATTGATATAAGTGTGAATTTGAATTATGTTCAAAACTCCAACTCTATCTAGTTCGCGTTCTATCGCCTATTTTGTGGGGCTCACTACTTACTAGTTTACCGAAGGCATTTGATATGTGATTGCAATCTTGTACCTCACGGTTCCTAGTCCCAAAACTTTCGGTTCTTTTTAAGAGTACCGGTTCTTCATTCTCTACTATAAACTGACCATGTGGTTCCACTTTCATTCTATCAATTGTACATATCCTGAACGAGAATGAGAATGCCACACAAAAAATAAGACAGCAAATCGACATCTCATCGGTGATTCAATATTGCTACGAATACAGTACGTGAAATTAATCCTTTTGGTGGGAACCGTCCGATGCATGAGATGCGAACTTGACGGCACGTAGTTTGGGAAATATTACCATCATACATATGTGTGTGTGCTCAGGCTTAAAAGTTCTTACATTTCTTTCTCTCAGGGTATATTCAATGTCACTCGTGTCTGTTTCCGAAGATTCTAATATGTCGATAATATCAATTCTACTGAGGCTATCCATTTTGTATGATATTTATACAAAACAAGCCCTCACTCGCTGTTCGCTGGTTTACCAGGCCAACAACGCGCTGTTATCTTACCCATGACTTTAACAGACTGACTATGTCTTTTTTTTATACTCCAACTACCGCGAAGGCCTAAGCCTAAGCACCCATTGGGTACCGTGGGGCTATAGGGTAATACACAGGCGGGGTATAAAATTGATACGGCCAAAATATCCAAATGTTAACATGTGGAAAATTGTTTAATGAAAATTCAAGCAAAAAACTCAGAAAATTGTGGAATAACATCAAGCAAAGGTAGATAGAACGATTTTTTAACCGCCATTGTTTGGTTTCTGAAGTGCACTATAGTATATGAGAACTTTGCATTGTTCCTTGAAACAATCCAAAATTCAAAACAACAAATATACAGATGTTATGCTATTTCAAGCCTTTATGAAATTCCTGGTCTCAATAGTCCATTCTATGAACACTTCCCATAAGAAAAAGCAGCTCTATAAAAATTAATAATTAGCTGATACAAAATCATTATTCGTGCCTTTGTTTGGTGTTATCCACACAATTTTTGCAGTTGTTTACCGGACTTTTTGTGTCTATTATTTTCGTTAAGCTTTTGCAATTTGCTCTCAAGGATTGTTCTTCAAAGTGTTTGAGCAGCTATTTGTTCTATGTATATATTCCAGTACCACGATCATTTTCTTAGCCTCCCTAAATTTATTTTCAGTTTCAGGGTTACATATTATTTATTTAATCTGACAGACGTGATCTACAATCTATAGCTAGCACAAGTTCGGTGCAGAACTGGTTGCCTATACGCACAGTTTACTGGTTCCGATTCCGTTATAAATTCAAGAAATTACAATTACATTACTATTTTGCATTGTTTAACCTCTTAAGTGGCTATGACGTATATATCCGGACTTCAAAGTACTAATCACAGTGACTATGACGGATATAATCGCGACCAGATTTTCCTTGGTGCCTTCAATGGCTATGCCGTATATAGTCGTATGCGATGGTTCCCAGCGTGGTCCAATGTTCTATGGATGCGCCGGTGCGAAAAAAACCGCGCTTTTTTGTCTGTCTTTGTCTTTCGTCATTATACCGCGAACCACGTGGCACGTGCTGTACTATTTATTTTCGTCTATAAATTCCTGTGTTTTGTTGTATGAAAATATTGAATATGTCGGCGTCGTGCTCTGAAATGGACTGTGATGATATCTCGGGTACTAATGAATATGACTTTACGAGTTCCGATGAATCCGAAAGCAGCTCAGAATACAGCGAAGATAGTGTTGAAAGTGAGGATGACGTACTGGAGGAAGAGATTGAAGTTGAAAGTGAACACGAGGATTTTAGTTTTGATATGCCTGGCCACTTAAGAGGTTAACAATATTTAACATAAAAAAATTGTCATCAAAATGCTAAATAGATACTGCCAACAAAGCGGTATTGTAACCCTGGTTACATTATTTCCAAGGGTAGATTAACCCTCAAACGGCATTCGGCCCTCAAGGAACATTAAATTTATAAAACAGACTCTGAAGCTATGATTGATAAAATCAAGATTTTCTTCTATTTCAGACATGGCGTGGATAGGCTGGTTGAAGATCTTATCCAGGAGTCAATGTCAAAAGGCGAATTCAGAAATTTGAAGGGTGAAGGGAAACCACTGTCTAATAACCAAAATAGGAATCCATATGTGGATTTCATTACGCACAAGTTGAATGAGGTTAGTTTGATCAGTCAGACGGTTATTAACCTTTGATTGTTATGTCCCATTTTCGAATTATCGGCAAATAATCCCGTGATGAATCAGTCAATTTTCTCATGACATTAATAGGACTTGTAGATTTATGTTTTATGGTATTTCAGTCAATTGGTTATGAATGAAACTATTCTCACATTTTCTGTGACGTTTCGGTTTATTTTAAACTAAGCCATCCTCATAAATTTAATGGCCCTACAATATCACAGCTAGTTAAAACTTAGAATACATAAACATCTTCTCAACCATGCAAGTAGTGTGAATTATGAGGTCTGTAATTTTACAGTAAGTGTTTTAGATGTTTTTGGATATTATAAGACCATTAAATTTCTGTATATGGTTTATTTTAAAATAAACCGAAACTTCAAAGAAAATGCGAGAATATTTTTATGTATTACCAATTGTCCAAAATACCATAAAAACAATAAAAATTAATAGGACGTGTGTCTTGATATCGAGATTTTCGAACTCAAAAAATATACGTCCACGGTCGTTTGAATCGCATTTCATTGTTCATTGTCAAAAATCTTAACTATTCGAATGATCTTTTTTGAGTTTAGGGGTCTCTCATCCTAGAATCCGTAACCTAGTTATATAATCACATCCAAGATAAAGTTGTAACACCAGCACAAGACTTACAATCAGCCGTTTCCGTGACGGTCATCGTGCAATATTGCAAAAATATAATGAAAATCTTTTAAATATTAAGTGTATAATATATTTATAATCCATCAGACAAAAACAAGTTGTATGGGATTCGTCACAAATAGAAAGATGTGTATAAATAGGACGCATTACATATTAAAAGCAGATAAATACGCACACAAAAACAAACTGATGCTAAGCTACTAAATTTCACTCATAATTATGGTAACGGACAAACATTGATATCATTCAGTCGTCGTAAAACGGTTCTGAACATGACCCTATCTAATTATTCAGCTGTCGAGTATCACGTACACAGTGTATATCTTTGTTTACATCCACTCAACAAGGTTTCCAAAGTTCTGTAAAGATTTATTTTCTTCAAGGGGGTATCGACTCTACGTCTACTTGAATCTAAATCTGCTGCTACAAATTCGAATTTTCAGGTTATTTCAGAAAAAACGTGGCGATATTCCAAGGTCATAAAGTAGATAAAAATATAACCCGAAAAGTTCATATAACTGTGGTACCTAAAATGCCTTTGCCGAGATACAGGAGTGTATTAAGATATTGACTTGAACATTCGTACTTGTAGTACTGACATCGTAACCGATACATACGAAAATGTTCGAAACTATACCAGTGGCATAGAAATTGGGAAATTTTGACCCCCTACAGGAGAAAAAAGGAGAATTTATGCGCCGCTGACTTTTTTTAAACATCTATTCCATATTTGAATAAGATATTCAATTTTACATGAACGAATCGCCTCTCTTAGAAAATGTTTGTCAGACACCTCTTTTGGAGAAAAATTGGTTTGAATATTTGAAGTGAAATCCACATAAAAAACAACATGTTCTTTGAAAATCAGCTGAAGGTAGCGAAGTTTGACATTGGGAATTGTATTTATAGCATTAGGAGATTTATGATGAGATTTATTGTTATTTGAACAATGTTCATGTTTTGTCCTTATCCAGTCTCATTGGTGTAGCAATTTACTGTATCTGGGTAATAAAATATTTTAGGACCCATGGGAACTTTTTTAATGTACTTTCTGACGTAGAATATGGCCAAGTTTTTTTAACACCCTATTTCTAAGAATATAAGGGAACAATAGTAGCGATCTAAAAATCTCAAATATTTCTAGATCTTGATCGAAAATGGCTTCTCCCCGGAATGGATCACCCTGCACAAGGAAATCCAAGACAACAAAACCCGCCTAAGAAACGATCTTCTCACTGAGCGGAAATACTTCGGTCCCTACCCTCTCAGTGTTGAGGAGAATATCAAATGGAGTGACCGTGTCTATAAGTACAAAGAAGAGGTTGATAAAATCAACAAAAAAATCACCCAGTACAATCTAGTCGTACCTATTGTGAACAAGCAAATGTTGCATATTCGTTTAGAGAGCGAGGCGCAGAAAGTGTTACTTGACGGCAAAAATTGCAATGAAATATTGCAATTTGATACTAATATGGAGAGGAGGAGTGATAGCAAACCTGTGATACAAACTAGCTCATCTGGAGAAGTTACTGTTAATCTTTTTAGTATATTCGATTGCCTGTTTAAAGGTAAATAGTATTTAATATTTATTTTGTGAACAGATTGTATATAAAAGCTGAATTGTATTTATGTTATTTAAATTATTTTATGTTTAATTTATATGTGTGTATTATATTGTAGAAAAGTTATTATAACATTCAGGTTTGGTTTGACGTCTTAATAAATACCTTTTACACTAATGGAAAACATTTGGGGGTCAAATAAAAAACGTATTTCAGCAAAAAATTGTATTGATGTTTTAAGAGAAGCATTTGTAAGCTTCGTGTTTATAGCTGCTGGATCTTTTAGTGAAAAAGCTTTAGAAGCTGTTGGTTCCACGCAAAAATAATGTGAGGAAATAGTTTTTTTATATTTTTATTTAGGTCCGAACTTCGAAAATTGTTTTTCCGCTGAAACATTGCATGTAGCTACCTTTTTGTTTAGCTTTAATTTACATTTTTGATAACTTCTATACGATCACTTCTTGTTGAGATATCATTGAAAAAATGCCGTCAATTGGGTTGACTCGGCATTTCCGACGCCACGCCGTTATCACTTTATAAAGGATTATGTTCAGCACAAACAACTCTCTCGGAAAACAGTCAGTGAAACAGGTCCAGGTTTGCTGAAAATATTTTTAGGCACGGAGAAATCTATGTGTGAAAGATGTCTAATAGGTGCATAGAATTACCAAAGTTGGGAGCATACAAATAAACTAACATCAAAAAAAGGAGATATACCCTTCACATCCCCCCTACAACCCTTTTACCACTAAATTTTTTGATCAAAAATGATCAGGATAATTTGAAACGTCAAGAAAGTTTGAACGAATTTTACTTCTTTCGTTTCAGGCGTTCTTTCTCTGTCGCCATTAGACCGATTTTCAAAAACTACAAAGCGTTTGTATTACCGGGGGTTATAAGATTATAAGCGACATGGTTTTTCGTGACGTATATAACATCCAAAAAACATAATATCTCGAGTATTATTAGTAAAATTTTACGTGATTGCAATACTTCCTCGCCAGTAGTTGTGGGAAACTACAAATTGTCAAAGGATTTAGGTAGAATTACCACTAGTTCAAATCCAAATTCTGTATGCGATGAAACATATGCAACGATACCAATAGTGTTTTTTATCAGGACAAAAAAGTTTTTGGGTGGCTTGGAATGTCATAGATACCTCTGAGCGAGATAAACTGTAATATGTATCCGTGCCTAGATAGCTGGATGCGCCTTGGAACGAGACAAAACTTGAAAATTTGCCTCTGCGTGGCGGTCTCGGCATGCAATGGTTTCCAAATTTTCATTTTTTATTTCTTATTTCTATTTCATATATATGACAGCACAATCTTTATTTTAGTCAAAGTTTCAACGACACTATACTTTTTTATATACTTAAGCCACCTATGGCCTAAACACCCATCGGTATCGTGGGATATAGGGGAAAGGGGGGGACACTACACGGGGAACACCTGTGCATGCAACATGCACACATTTCTGGCCTCACCTTAGAGATCCGGCGGGTGATACCTCCGCGTTCGACAGTCACAGACTGTCTACCACTTCCGTGGTCATCGCTATGCGTCATCGTCAATGTTGATAAGAGAATTCAGAACACCATTGCTGGGCGGGGATATCGTGTTGCAAAGTTCCTCAGTTGCAATTACATAAATATGTCTTCACTTAAGAGGAAACGTGAGCGGAAGCATTAATTTTCTCACTAGAACTATACGATCCTTTTTTCATTCTCTACTGTTATAGACCAATTTCCTTCAGTGCAAAAAGAAACAAAAAGTCTAAATACGTTTTTGGAAACCTATAATACTGGATAAGATGGTGCGTGATAGAACAGTTGTATGGGGATGGTGGAAGATGGATTTTTCAAAAATTTGTCGATCTATTTTAAATATCTTGCATTGCTAACCTATAAGAAAATGTGGAGGAACATGTTTTCAAAAATTCTGGAACTTGATGCTGGAATTAACAGGACTCGATGTTCTAGTCCAAATTCAAAAACTTAGCCTAAGTGTACGAATTTCGTTCACTTGTAGCCACAGAGAACGAAAAATTGGAAAATTTGCACGTAAAACTGTATAGTTATTTTAACACGTGCCTACCTCACATTCTCACAAATCCATGCATTGTTGCATGCATAATACTTGATTGTTGAATGAATAATACGGTGAGTAGATTTCGAATCTGACTTCAATTAGTAGTGCTAGAACGCCCTGTGACTTACTTTCAACCCTAAACTCGGCCCTACGACATTTCTTCACTTTTTTATATATAAGATATACTATTATGAAAATTTGCAGAAATCCTTGCGTTTTTGTGTTCTTAATGGAGCGGCACTAGCAAAAAAGTTATGAAATAGCGAGATTATGAGCTGTATGTTTACGGCACTCAAAATTCTATTTTGAAAAATACAATATATCCAGATTCCGTATCTTCACAAATCTGCGATTCCCAAGACGACTCAAACTAGGGAAAAAGATTAAAAATTTTAAATCGCCAACACCCACTCATTAAGGCGGCTCCGACGCAGTGAATTTCAAGCCATTTACAAGGGTTCAGCTGCTTCAAAACTGACACTCCATTTTTCAATATTTTTGAATGAAATTCATACAGTATGTTGAGAAGATAATTGCCCAGGGTGCTATAGGAGCACTTTTTGAAACTTTGTTTTTGCGCAAGTTTTATGATTGGTTGAAGTGCGCACTTTTTCTGTTCAACTTCGCGATTTTTTTAAAAAGAACCTAGTGAAAAAAATTAAAAACTGGCTCTATAGCACCCTGTGGGGTTTTGTTTTCAGCACTCTGTGAAAATTTCATCCAAAAATATCAAAAAATAAAGCGTTAATTTCGAAGCGCGCAAACCTCTACAAATCGTTTTTTCAACGAATTTTGTCTACTGTTTCGTGCTGCCAACCCAAGCTTTGCGGCGCAATGTACGGACTAAGAAAGGACTTATTCAGATAATTTGGTGGCCCTATTTCATATAATATCGCGTAGATAAGTCGTTCTGCAAATAGGTACTCATAATCGCGATCGCTGATACTCATCGATTTTAAAGCCGTTTTACTTCCCACGTCATTGGCGAGGAAGTATTGTAATCGCCAAAAATTTCTAAAATGAGATGTTTTTAAGTCATATGACATCTACATCACGAAAAACTGTATCACTCATCATCAACTTGGAAATTACCGCTCGGATTTTTATGAAATTTCCACACGGGGTTACTAGTATGCCAAAGCTTTGTAGTTTTAGTCCAGTGGCAACGGTACTATAGGCAAAAAAGAAAAAGTAACAATTGCTGAAACTCCGTTTTTGACTTTTCAGGGGTTCCTAATCATTGACATAAAAAAATTGTACTGCTTAAAAAGGGGGGATTGAAATCAGTGAAACACGTTCTATTACTAAGAAGCTTCTGATCCCAGTGAATACAGGAAATTTAAGTATCGAAAATCCGACGAATAATGTGCTCAAGATTTGAAAAAATCGGTACCTGCTCTATAGGTTTGACACCAAGAGCCAACAGATCTGCAACTACCGACAGTAGGGAAGAATAAATTCGGATATCACTCCAGTCAAGTATAGGGGAATTTAGCGTGGAACTTTAAAATTATCGATATGTCAAAGATGAAAACGATCATTTGGTAGATTTTATACCTGCATTTTCATTTGAATTTCATAACCCGTGAAACGCACCCATTTCGCCGTTACCTTTTGTGTTCTGCAGTTTGTGATGTTTTTCTGGATATAAGCAGGCTATCATTGCCTAGGGTGCTATCAGAGCTTTTTACAAATTTTGTCTTTGCCCAAGAATTATGGTGGGTTGAAATCCTTACTATTTGTGCTCAACTTCGTGATATTTTAAAAAGATCCTAGTGGATAAAATCGAAAAGTGGATCGCTGGCACCTTGTGGACTTTGTTTGTAGCACGCTGCAAGAGTTTCATTTGGAAATAATAAAAAATAAGCTGTGAAGTGCAAATGGGTTTTTGGGAGAAATTCATCTACTGTTTCGTCCTGCCAGTCCAAGCGACGCGACGATGCGTTCCGTCTAAGAAAAAATGTATTCAAATAATTGTATATCTTTCCTAAAATAAATTCAAGAACTAAAATTCAAATTCGTTTATTCATGTCAATAAACACAATTATGTTTACAAGGGTCGTGTGATAGATGGTAACAATTGAACGAGGGTCATAAAAATATCTTATGCCATCAAAATAAGAGGAAACAGTTAGGTAGTTTTTGCAAAGCAATAAACAGGTAGGCTTATACCTGGATTAAGTACATGTCTTGTCTACTGTAATAGGTAGATGGAGGTGATGCTGCCAGAAATGGATGTGTGCCATCAATAAACAAACCACAAGATTGAACTGCTCTGTCGGATGATTTTTGTATTGCCTTTTTCTTCTACAAATTTCACCAAATCGAGACGCTGTCAACCTTATCCTCCGATGAAGACGCCACAAAGCACAGTCCTGTGATTTGGTGACTTGTTCGATATGCAAAATCTCGTCGTCACTTTTTCTAAGTTTCCCTGAAAATTCTTTCTTAGCAACCTCCAAATCAAAGTCGTTCATGTCAGGTTTTTGACAGAATTCGCCATAAAACTATTATATATTTTCTTTGGAATTGCTATCCGAATTGTTAGTTATTTTTATATCACCTTTTTTTGGTCAGAGTTTCTTTCCAAGATTCTTACGTTTGAGTCTTTGTTCCATCTTAGTGATAAGCGAGGTTGGACTAAGCTTAGAATGTAAATGTATTTGGCCCACATAGACAGGCCGCTCGGTATTGGGGCTCACTACAGCTGCAGCACATCTTCCATGGTATGACCTCTTCTTGCAATAATTTATTCGCTTACCCCAATGTATTTTGCGATTATAGAGTTGAATTGCTCCACACTATTGTTGCCCTCATCATGAATTAAACTCACTGAATTTGTAATTCTAATTGTCGCATATGACCTTTTATTGTCCATTATCAACCTTGATAAAAAAAAGGCACTCAAGAACAATCACACAAACAAGACTACAGCACAACAATTCAACAACACAATCTCGACGAACAGTAACAAGGGGAGAAAAATACTAAATGATCACTTGCTGAGTACCAAAATAGGAAACGATTTACAGGCTAGATCGCTAATCGAAATCCGACTCTGTTATTATAAAAATTTACCTCGGTACGCACCCGCAAACATCCTTTCCTCTTTTAAAGTAGCGCCGACGACCGTCTAAGGCCAGCCCACTCTCGTTTCCTTTTCACCCCCCCCCCACACACACGGGTTGATGACGTCAGTTACAGGAATCGCTTGAACGCGTTGGTTTTATCCGCGGTTTTGTTGCAAGTTGTTTATTTTAGAAAAGCGCGTATATGATCTCTGATTATTTTTATTATCACTTAATAATCGGTGCTTTTTCGTCTACAACTGTATGGAAAGTTTAAATAAGAAACCTTTCATATATTCATGGGAGAAATGTTTTTTCCAGTTAATTTCTTTTAATGATGGAACCATGGCTTTGTAGCTATGATAACTTTCAATTCTCTAAAGTTTTCCGCATGTCAAAGAAAACATTTATTGATTCAGCAGAAATGATGAAAAAAGAAATTAGCAAAACCGTATTCAGGTGAACATCATCTAGTGAGTTTATATGGCCCTATTTCAATATTCTTGTGGTATATGCATTTAAAGTGTCCCCAACAACAGTAATGAGTATAACTAATAAGGTGCTCCACTTTATGGTAAAACTGAAGTCAGCCTGTATCAAGTTTCCCAAAAATGAAGCTGAAGTGCAATAACAATATCCAGTACCCGGCAAAATTCTAACTTGTCACATTTCAAATAATAACCAGAAATATAAAACTACTCCTGAGTTGGGTAAATACCACAATTTTGCGGTGATAACTATGACATATAACAGCTGATTCATGACGTCACGGATCTTTTAAGCAAGCTGATAACCACACTCGCTTGAACGGATCGGTAAATACCAACCCAAAATGGTAAATACCATTTTCATTTGGTTATCCGTTTGAAATTGATTTTATATTCACCGACTCGCTCCGTACCGATATGCAACTCCATTCTGTCATAAAATGACAAATGACAGTAATTTGAGTTTTGTCAAAAAAATGACAATTGATTTGGCAGTTAAAATATTCTATATTTTGAAATCAATCTGAATTTTTGCAAACTATTTATGTATTCCGTTACACAATGCCGTCGAGAATAGAAGCTCCAATGAACCACTGTGTGAATCTTCGCCCTCATCAAGAAGACCTCCTACAACTAAGCGAATTGGCTGGAATTCATATGGATAAAAAAGTATTTAGGTACGATAAATTAAACAAAGGGTAGTTACGTTAGAACATGTTAATTGCGTTTCCTGTTTTATAAATGGTTAAATAAAAAAATTAACGTCTGGAATAACTATACTTTTTGAACTACGAAGTTTGCTGCCCAACAAGTATTCTAATTATGTTTGACCTACTGGGTAATATACGACAAATATTGGCTATTCTGCTTCTATCCCACTAAACATTGAACAATTTCAGGCTGATTATGGAAATGCTCAACATGGGATTCAATGCAGAAACGATTTACAGTTTGTTAAAGTATATCAAGAATTCTAGGACCAGAAAACCTAGAGTATCACTGACAAAATCCAAACAGAAATAAATACATCCAGCTAATAGGTAAAAACTATGTATGTATAGAAACCATTAAAATGCACTTGATTCTATCATAGTATTAATTTTTTTGGTATTGAAAATGTATTAATGAATTTGTAATAGTTAATATGGCTGTGTTCAAATTTGTTTGCTGGATTCTGAAGATAGGGAATAACTCCCTTATATTTTTATGGAAAATATATTTGTTCTTTTACTATAAGAAATTCAAAATTTATGATACCTATATATAGATCTTTGAAATTATTTTTGTTATAATTTAAAATGATTATTGTATTGTAAGAAATAAATAATGCATTCATTACACTGAAATTATTCTCATTGTATTTTCAGCAGTCCAAACATTTTCATTGTAAAGACCAGATGTTATAGTTAATGAAAAATGTTTACTTTCTTTGCTCCATTATTCCATAAATTCAAGGATCCATTAAGCCCTGATATTCACGACATTCCCTTTTTTAAGTATATCTGATAATACCATTGCTTTACGCAATAAGGGATAGTTTCCAAGCTATCATCTTGTTTATTCCTTCCAAGATTTGACATGTATGTTCTTATGAGGTATTTTCCTAGAATGGACCCTTCTTTAAGTATTTTGAAACACATTGTACAACAGCTAAAACTAATTGCAACAGTATTTTCACAAATATTTTACAAATGCTGTAAAAGTTTTTCCATAAGTATAAGGTGTTAATGAAAGTCTATGTTATTCCCATTTTTTATTTATATACAAAATCATGTTCCAAAAGCATTCAGGCATAATAAATTAATTATAAACTGAAAACAAGATTTAGGCCCTTATCATCAGTCGTCCCTACAATTGTAGGGCGCCTTTATGGCCTCCTTGATTGTCATAGTTTTCTACTTCTCCATGTCAGCGCTCTATTTTGAGGTTATGTCACAAACATCTATTTGCATCAAATTGTGCTTGCTTTTGAGTTATATCATGTTTTATCAGCATGAAATTTCCTACAATTTAAAAAGAAAACATATCCTCACAATAGGAGAGCACTGATGCTGACACGGGACAAGTGTAATCTAGAAATTTTTGAAGGAGAGAAAGCAGTATGATAATCAAGGAGGCCATAAACGCGCCCTACAATTGTAGGGACGACTGACGATACGGGCCTTAGTAACATGTATGTCAAAAATATTGATATTAGTACGAATTCAAATCATACATTACTCACTCTCAACTAAAAAATCTTCAAATAACTTAATTAAATTCTCTATACCTTCAAGGTAGTTTTTATCAATATCACAATTTTCTGCTGGATACACATGTGCAAAATCAATCATTTTGACAGTTGCCCAACATTCACTTTTTTTCTCTGAACACAATTCATCTAGAATAAATGAGTAACTTTTCTTTTTGTTCTGTACATCTTTATCATAATTATTTTGAAAAGAGTGGGTCCTCCTTAGTGTGTGTATAGATTTTTGCCAAGAGTTACTCCTACTAGCTGGTCCTTCAACATTTATAAGCTTCTTTGAAGACACCTGAGGCTTCAAGATTGGACCATCTTTAGTCAGTTGTCCACTAAACCCTGTGGAGATCTTGTCAGGACTATTGTTCAAAACTGCTATACTTAATGGTCGGTACAAGCTGCATTTCTTCTTTAATTTTCGTGAGGTACCTACGTTTGTCTCATCAGAAAGTTGTTCCCTTAGTCTTTTTGCATCATATACTAGTAGTAGAGAGGATGAGTATATTCGTAATCGTCTTTGATTCCGCGCCCAATGTTGGATATGCCATAAGGATGCCAACATCTGGACAATCAAGCTTCTGCAAAAATATCCGTTTTCGGCATTAAGAAACGATTTTATTGCTAAAAGAAAAAATTTAATGAAATTATAAAAGAAGGCTTCAAATAGGTTATTATATATATATTATAACATAGCTAGGAAAACTCATTCAAAGAAAAGTTCATCTATCTGAGAGCCACAATACCATGGACAAATATACATATTAAACATAATTACAGGTGGTGTGTGACCATCGGCAAGAGATAACTTTTTGTGAAACATTACCTGTCCCCAAAACTTTTTGATAAGAATCCTCAAAATTGTTTTCATGCTAAACGTGAAAATTTTAAGTTCCAACTCTCAAATGGAGTCATGCTCCATGGTCAGGGGTTTAAAAATAGATAATCTCCTTTGTCTTGTTCACAAAATAAAGAAGGACTCAAAGAATGCGTATTTTGCTCAAGAGGGTATTCTTTGTATTGATACATACCATCAATAGCATGTTCTTTGTCCAGACTTTTCCCAAAATCTTTGCCATACTTATATACTTTATTATCTGCTATTGAGTATACTTGGAATCCTGGTATACAAAATGCTAGATCTCGTTTGCAGTCATGATATTTTTTCTGTTAAGTAAAGAATCATATATTATCTTGATATTTCCTAGATTTGAATATATATTCGGTTATACAGTAATGGACAAAATTATATAGACAAATATGAATATTTACCTAAATACCTTTAGAAAACGAATTCATACTTCATTGCTCCATAAACAAATGCGTTATTAGTAGAAAAACTAAAGTCCTTGTTTTTACATTATGTGCAATGAACACAATACAAGACTGAATATAAGCACTTTTCTATGAGGGACAAAAATATGTAGGCAAATTCTTTTCAACATTAGTTTAGTACAGTTTCGTGTCAGAAGAGGATTAGTTTGTGTTCATCAAGTATTGTGGAATGAGTTGAGTGATTTTAAGACCATGCCGCATGGTCCAGAAATTTATTTCGATGTGACAACTAAGATCATTGAGTTATACAAGGATGGTCAACGTCAAGTCGACATTGCCAAAAATTTGAAGCGTAAAGCAGTTTGGGCAATATTGAACAAAAAAGTATCTTGGAAGCCTCTAAGAGAAGTGGTTGGCCTAGAAAACTTAACGCTAGATCAGGTAGATTAATAAAAGTAATTTCGTCCAAAGATCCGTTTAAAACCCCAAGACAAATAAAAGCCAAAATCGAGACAAAAGGAACTGTCAGTGTTTCTACGAAAACTATAAGTAGAAGATTAAATGATTTCAAGTTATTTGGACGTCGCGCGAGTAAGAAGCCGCTAATCTCGAGGAAAATCCGTAAGTAATTTGCACGGTTGCATCTTGATTGGAGCATCTGTGTCTGGAAGAGGGTATGTTTCAGTGACGAATCCAAGTTCAATATGTTTGGATCAGATGGTGTTCATTACGTTAGACGTCCTAGTGGACAAAGATTAAACCCCAAGTACACTTTGCCCACTGTCAAACATGGAGGCGGGTCTGGTGGGTGCTTTTCGGGGTTTGGAATGGGACATAGAATAGATGGCATTATGGATAAGTTTGTATATACAGACATACTAAAGCATGTCATGTTACCCTATATGGAAGACAATATGCCCTTAAGATCTTCCAGCACGATAATGACCCAAAGCACACTTCAAATCTCGCAAAGAAATTCTTTCTGGATGAAAAAATACCAGTTCTCAAATGGCCTGCACAGTCTCCCGATATAAACCCCATTGAAAATCTATTGGAATACTTAGATAAGCAAATACGAGATAAAAATTATTCAAACAAGGATGAACTTTTTGTCGCTTTAGAGCAAAAGTGGAGACAGATTGATGAATCTTATATCAAGAAACTTCTACAATCTATGCCCAGACGATGCCAGGCGATGATTGATAATAATGGTTATGCTACAAAATATTAACACAAACATGGTTGATTTTCTATAATTCAATGAACTTTGCTTCTTTTTCCTATAATTGTTTTGCTTTGTCTATATATTTTTGTCCTTCATAGTTCCAGTTTTTTTCAATTAATTTTTTATTGAAGGGAGTCTAATGAATTTATCTATGTAGTGAGTATTACGCTATAACGAATTATGTATACAGGTTGGTGAATTAATAAAATAAGTTAAAAAAGAAATAAAGCACAAAATTAATTTGCCTATATACTTTTGTCTATTACTGTACATGTGAAATTCTAGAAAAAAAAATCCTCCTAGCTCACAACAATGTCTTAGTTCTAGAAATGTATTTAAAATCCACTATTTGAGCTTCAAGGCAAGAAAAAGGAGTCATATTCTTTCTAACAATACCTACCTCTTCAGACATGATTTTCTCATATGTGGCTTTAGGATCCCACGTCCTTCTCCCAATCTTTATATCCATTATGCATGGTTCTTTGTAGTACTGTGTTAGATCTTCCAAGGCTAAGCACTCAAATTTTTTATTGTCAATGATCAGTTCTCTGATACCATAAAATTTTGGTACAAGTCCCCTCAACTCGATTAAAGTTTTGTCAACTGTATCTTCCAGCATTTTGTAAAACTGAGTCTCTTTTTCGCCAATTTCTTTTTTTACAATAAGTTTTAAAATGACGCCGTCTTGTTTGAACATACCTGAAAATGTATAAAGGTTGGTGACAGTGTATAAACCTGAATCCAATGTCAATTTGGCGCTGGGACCGTCTAGACTCTAGAGGTCTCGGGCGTATCTTTGTCTAAATGTGCAAAGTTTTATTGACGTGTAACACCGAGAGACGAAAATGGTAATATTACCTACAAGGTTCTTTAATATTTTGAAGAGACCTAGAAAAATATTTTCAAAAACCCACTGCACACCTGTGATTTGGACAAAGACTAGTCTCCTGGGTAAATCGGATGTGTATATGCCGAACCTGAGACAATATTTGACACTAGAATTTATTTCTGAAATTCGTCCCTATGATACTTCTATTCATATTCGAATTCGGCGAGCCAAATTACTAAAGTATACCGATAGCCGTGTACTAGAGAAATTTTGAAAGTGCAGGGTAATTGTAATCTAATTGAACAGTCTGTTCCTGAGTAAATCGAGTGCTTAGATTCAAAATTGATTTCGATGGGGGTGATCTGGAAAGTTAGAAGTAGATAGACCTAGTTAGGACAACTGTCGTGTCTAAATTTATAAACAGCTTAAGACGAGCTTCACAGAGTATTTGAGAAGTCTTTTGACAGTTTAACCTCCAGCCACACTAGCACTCCCTTGGTGCTGGACCAATGGACAGTCACAAGAGGCACATTTACTACCTATAATTCCACTCAAGAACACGTTATAATTATCATATTCGAATTCAGCGCTCTGAAGTACCTAACTGTACAGAGGTTAATTCACTTGCAGCCACAAAAAACGAAAAACTTTGTACGGCAAAGCCAAATAGTTATTATAACATGTGTTAAGAGAAATATCCGTAAGTGTGATCTGGATAATAATTAATTATTTAACTAAATAGTATCCGATATCAATATCAGCCAGTCAATGGATTTATTTCTCAGAAAATATTCCTATAAAAAAGGCGAAAAGTAGGTTTACCCGCAATTCCTACGCAACGGTGTGATCAGTTCATACTCGACACAAGTTAGTCCGTCCTAGAAAAACATTGGCTGCAAACTTGTATACAATGGAAATAAATGGATCATACAATCAGTCCATACTCCAACAATGCGATATAGCCTACCGCCCGACCAACAGTAATGGGCATCCAGCACGGGGTTATACCGTACACGAAAACGCGCATGATCGCTGAGTCATGCCTAGCAATCTAAAGCAGAGAGGCCCGCGCTTGCTGAGTTGTCCGTTATGCGTTCATTGAAAATATATCGTCATAATACAATGCGTGAATAAACTTATTATTACTATTATAATTCAACATGGAAGGAACCGTTTGATTTGTGAAATATACTAAGTGACATATAAATCCGAACACCCAGTTTAAATGGTTTTATTTTAATAAAAGTTGGTGAATGTATTTATCTTACTGTAAATAACAAGTGAAAAAATGTTCAGCCTTATCAGTTGGACATTCCGGTTTTTATACTGCTTTTTTTAATTCACTAACGCTCTAAAAATGAATATTTCAGCCGCAGTAAAGAATCAACGTTGGCGGATTTTGGTTCTTGACATCCTTTACGATCGGTTACGATGCCTAGAGTACGGAGACCTGTACGATTTCGTCAACTTCGTGAGTTTGATAGGGGCCGTATAGTGGGACTTCGGGAAGCTCGACTTTCTTTTCGGGCAATTGCAGTTAGAGTGCAAAGAAGTGTAGACACTGTGGTTAGGTGTTGTCAGGCTTGGCTTCGAGAAGACCGTAAGCAAAGAGCAAGGGGCACTGGACGCCGCCGTAGAACAACAGACCGTGAAGATCGCCGCCTAAGATTATTGGCCTTAAGGGACCGTTTCTCCACTACCAGGTCCATTGCAAATGAATGGTTTGCAGAACACGGAAGACCTATTGGCATGCGAAGTGTTTACCGACGAATGAGAAGTTTTGGCTTGTTTTCATACCGGCCACACTGGGTCCTCCCTTTAACTCGAGAACACCGACGTAATTGCCTTGAGTGGTGCAGACAACGGTCACTCTGGGATCAGGAATGGAACAGTATTGTCTTTAGTGACGAGTCTCGATTTTGTTTAGGCATGCACGATGGTCGTGCCAGGGTTAGAAGGCGACGTGGTGAAAGGAGGAATCCACAGTTTTTTGTTGAAAGACATGTTCATCACACTGTTGGAGTTATGGTTTGGGGTGCTATAGCTTATGGTTCCAGGTCACCTTTAATCTTCATCAGAGGTAACATGAACGCGCAGCGTTATATCCACGAAGTTCTAGAACCCCATCTGTTACCCTATCTTGACACCCTGGCAGATCCAACTTTCCAACAAGATAATGCCCGACCACATGTTGCAAGAGTCACAATAGACTTCTTTCAACATAATGTCACATTGTTACCATGGCCACCAAGATCTCCCGGCTTATCCCCAATTGAGCACGTGTGGGATATGATGGGTAGGAGATTGCTCAATTTGCAACGTCCTCCTCAGACTCTAAAAGTACTTCGAGAGGAGTTGGTGGTTGCCTGAAATGAGATACCACAGGAGGACATTGACCACCTGATCAGAAGCATGCCTAGGCACGTTGGAGAATGCGTAGCACATCAGGGTGCATCCACACATTATTAAAGGCCAAAGGGCTTTAAAGCAGTGCAATCATTTTGAAATTTTTATCATTTACTTATTATGCTTCATTAAGTACTTATACAAAATTTTATTAAAATAAAACCATTTAAACTGGGTGTTCGGATTTATATGTCCAATAGGTGCATAGAATTACATCGGTTGCACACGTATTAATTGCTAGCACTAAAAATTGACATACTATAGATTTTACCCATAGAAAAATTTGTCCGAAAATGACAGGAGCCTCTGAAAACCTTAGTTTGAGCGATTTTTTTTCGTGTTTTTGCCGCCACTAGACCGATTTTCAAAATTCACAAATTGTTTCGCCCTTGGCATAGTAGTACCTTGTGTGGAAATTTCAACCAAATCCGAGCAGTGCTCAAGTTATAGGAGGACCAAAGATTAAACGGACAGACGGAAGTAAGTGACATTTTTTGAATATTGTAAATACGTCGCTCAGAACAGGAAAGACGCCTTCGTTGTTGAAGAGGAGTATTACAGTCCCAGTACCCAAAACAAACAATCCACGTAAGCCAGAAGACTTGCGACCCATTAATCTTATGCCAGTCGTCGAGAATATTATAGAAATAACAGTGCATGAACAGCTGAGTGAGCATCTACGTGTGAAGGGTGTTCTTTTTGAAAGGGAATCCGGGTTCAGAAGGAATCATTCTTGTGAAGCCGCATGCCAATTTGTATGTACAAAGTGGAAAAAAGATGTAGATGACGGTAAAGTGATTGTGTGTGTGTCTGTTGACATAAAAAGAGCTTTTGAAACTATGTATTGACAGGAAATTGTTGTTGAGAAAATGTGAAATGTAGGGAATTAAGGGTACAGCCCTCTTGTGGGTGGGTGATTATTTATCTGAGCAGTTACAAGTGGTAAAAATTAAAAGTAAAATAACAAGTAATGTTGCTGTTGATCATGGAGTACCTCAAGGCAGCATACTAGACCCATTACTGTTTATTCTATATGTCAATATGTCCAATGCCCTTAACAATTCTTTTATAAATTTGTTTGCGAATAATACATTAATTTCAGTTAATGATTTAGTAAGTAAGGAAATTGTAGATGTAATGAATAGTGAAATGAGCAAACTTTCTTTATGGTTAAAAACAAACAAGATTAAATTAGATGTGAGAAAAACGAAATGTATGATCAAAGGTTCGAAGAATAATTGCAAGAAATTGGTAGATTTAAATATGCCAGTGAAAATTAAGGGAGAGCTACTTGATTTTATAGATTGTGTTAAGCATTTAGGTATTATAATAGATCAGCAACTAACTTTCAACACACATGGTAACTATATGTGTCGCAAATTAGGCAAAAAGATCTGATATTTTCGTAGAATTTGTGAGAATCTAAGTCCCTGGTGCAGAACGGTTGGTCTACAATACAATAATTTTTCCTCATTTTACTTATTGTGCATCACTTTTGATTACATGCACAAATGATCAAAAGCAAAGGTTACAAATTCTATTAAATAAATGTATGGGGATTTTGTAAATTGTAGCAGGTATACCCATATCGAAGGATATGCTAAAGGCATTAAATTTTTTAAACATACACCAAATTATTCAAGAGGCAAATTTAATTCTTTTGTATAAAATTATCAATAATCAGGCTCCACCTTATCTTGAACAGTTTCTAAAAAAAGATGTGAAATGCAAGGTTACGACATTAGATCAAACAAAATTTCCATATACAAAGATTTAGATTTAAAGGTTTAGAAAAGTCAATGTTTGTTGAAAGTCTAAAAATGTACAAAAATCTGCCTATTAATGTAAAAACAATGATAAAATTTTCAACAAGAGACTTCGGAGAGACTATTTTGGTTTGATGTGTAAATTTAACATATTTTTGTAAATAATATTTATTATTGTTTGAAGTAGCTTAAAACTAAATAAATTCTTTCTATTCTATTCTATACATGTCATATAACATCCAAAAAACAGAATATCATTTTCGACATTTTTCGCGATTACGATACTTCCCCGCCCACTGGCTTAGGGAGTTAAAAGGATCCATTTTTTTACCAAAAGCGTCGATCAATGTATCCTGCTTGAAGATAACCAACCTAATACTATATTCGCATGTCCGCAAAATGATCCGCACGGGGATCACGTATCTTGAAATGTGACATCATTATGCCGCTTTTTTTTGACATGCTGTTTTTTTACATTATGTAGGTTTTTCTACAAGATATATTAACTTAGCACTTAGTTGTACGTGTTGTCTAAACGTCATGAGGCTTGTTATCAATCTTTGGCTCTGATGTGATGTAAAATCTGCTCCTGAGATGGCATTACTGGAGGTCTAAGCTGTAAGTTGTATGTGTTGATGATAATTACATTGGGTTCTTGTCTCAAATACACTTAATTGAGATTCAAAGCTAGTTGCGCATCCACTTTTTCTTATCCATTCTGGAAATTACATATACACATTTGCTGAATTTTAAAAACAAGAGAGATGAGAAATAATTATATTCACTGTACATTGTCGAATTACAAGCCATATACATGCTAACAGTAAATACACACAAAGCGGGCGCGGTGATGATTTCCCGTAATTCTCCTGTTTTCCGTAATTTATAACTTTCAACATAACCTCTCTCGAGAAAGCACAACATAAAAATAACCCGTCATATTCGGCATATTCAGTAATGATTTTCTCACACAGCAAATATCACTGATTTTATACACATGCAGACCAATACACATAATCATCCAGATGCGATCTTGCTATTTAACCAACTTTCTTCTCAAATATAAAAACTATAGACACGGATCACTCAGCCTCACAAAGCATATGCAACCAATAATACGTGTAGTTTAGTTGAGTGATTCCTCCTTAGATGGACGTTCACAACGACCCTAGTGAGCAAACGTGGAATGACTGTTTGCGCCCTAAAAACTATCTAGTTTGCAAGATGATATCTTATAGGTTTTTTTGACGTTTTATAGTTTTTTTACATGATACCCGTGCCGAGATGAAATGAAACACCATGCCGTTACCTATGAGAATTTCTCTTAGCTATGCTTCTCCTATCCGCAATAATTAGAAATCTACTTTGAAAAGGTTATTGTCTCATTGATAGCACTGAAGCCATATATGAGGGTACAGCTACAGCTCCATCTATGAGATACTAACCTTTTCAAAGTATATTTCTAATTATCGCGGAGAGCAGAAACACAACACAACAAATTCTCATAGCTGACGCTACAGTATCTCGTTTCATATCGTGAATGTAGTACTAGGTTGGCTATCTTGAGGAAAAATACATTAACTAATTTCAAAACTGGACTCTTCTCGGCTGCAAAGAGAGATAGGCACACAATTCGCACTAGTTCTGGAATGATCACACGCCAACGCCAACATAGCATTTCGCACATTTTTATAAAAATAAGGAATTGCAATGATCTCTGGATGATCCTGAAATGTATGAACAAGGTCAAATACAAGGCCGTTTTTTATAATCCTGCCAAAGAAAATTCTTACCAACGTAATTTCCATTTCCATCGTCGACATGTCCGGCGACTTGATGTGAAAATATCTCTATTTTCCTCGGAATTTCCGTCGATAAAGTAATATTTTTGTTGTCCCCCGATTCCTCCATGTTGCTTTCCATCAAAGTACTCAATCCACAGATGCTGTTGCACGAAGACATTGCGTAGATTAGGTTGGTGGCGGGACGATGTACAGGCATCAATTGCACCTCAGACTTTCCCATGGCCTTAGATTTGGGATCCTATCCTTGTTATTCATCCATAGATCTGCGATAGCGCGGTTAAATTAATTTTATGGTGAAATATACTACCAAGAGTACGTTATTTCATCGGATTCACATCAGTCATAAACGGATTGGGGATATGATTTAAAAAATTACAGAAAAAATCGTGTGTGGGATTAGAGAAACCCGCGATTTTTAGCATTCTACGCTTAAGGTATGCGTTCATAGGCTGCATAAAAAATTTGACGTTTAACGTACTGATTTATGGTATTTTACATCTACTGCATCCCCAGCAACTGAATTGCCGATGTGGTAAACATTTACAATTTTATTTCCGGTATAGCATTTGGATTTTCGCCAATATTGTACACAGCTGACAGAATGATAAAATTAACTCACAAGATTGGTGAAATGGACAGTAACAAGTCCGCTGAGAGGCAGTCCGTAGTTGTCCTTTTGGATTGCCGATAGTGTATTCAGTAACATACAAATAATCATAATGCTGCACGCCCACTAAGCAGAAGCGATTGAAGAGACTCGCGGCAACTTATATAATTTGCTCGCGTCAAACGTGACACGTCACTTTCCTTCGCGTCGCTGGAGAGCGAGCTTTTATTTCGTTATGTGTGTACAGCGAAAAATTTTCGATTGTATTCTCCTCCTTTTCCTATCCCTCAATGGGCATTTATATTAAAACCCGTTTAGTGCGAACAGTTCGATACAAACTTGTTCATTTAAATCATCTTTATTTCCCGTCAAATCAGCTAAGAGGGTTGGATTTTTATTAAAGACACTGATTGAACGTTACCATACATTTTATGCCATATGGGCAACGTCAAAGAATAATAATTATTCATGTATCTAGGGTGGTGTTAAGCGGGCAGTTAATGCACAGCCCAAGGTATGAAGCGCCACGAGCTCTAACACACCAGCAACATAAACGCTTATTACGGCCGAGATGCATAAAATGCGGTTAAAAATCAATTGACACTGGTAGTTCCACCGTCCCCTAGCAACGAATGGATAAGCACCCCCCGAGGCCGCGATATTGTGTTCAACATGGGTTAATTTATACATAACGGAAGACAGAGTTACTTTTCGCCCTTGGGCTGAAGAAGTTAGCGGACTAAAAGTTGGACTACCGTCCGAAAAGCCTACTCATTAAGTACATTTCTCCGCCGGTCATAGATAAACCAATGACACACAAATTCATAGATTGTTTAAAAGATCTTTTAATTATGTTTTTTTTTCATTTGAATCCTTTGTATTTCCGATTATAGACTGAATATAACCATACCAAAAGGATTGGTTTCTAATTCCAGATATCGTTAGAATGGGGGCATATATTTCATGTCAAAAGTATAAAGGTTATTTTCGTCCCACATGCTGGGCTGGAAGCCTAACCTCCAATGCAGAAGTCAAGCCAAATCCTAATGACGGGCCGGAAAACTTATTACGTCACGCTTAAACTTGTTACTACGTAGCTTTGATGCTGAATTATTGAGCGGCCCAGGGGTTAATTCTTGAGATGAGAGAAAATGGGCGTTTTTTTTTACCTGGTAAATTGGTCTAGCAATTCTGAAAAATGGTTGCACCATGGAAGAGTTATCAAAATTTGAGGTCACGTTCTATTAGTAAATGTGTAAAAAACGCTTGTCAATGAAAACGCAGCTTGATAATATGAGCTGAAGAAGTGTAATCGTTTCAATTTCATCTCTCTGAACCACATCAAGTAATGGGTCCAATGATGAGGCCTATCTTTTTTATCCAGCTTGAATTTTGTATAAGTCGACTGGATTATAAAATTCCTGAATAGGTTGCAGATAATTCAATTCCGAACAATAGTTCTATTTCAGTCATAAATTAATGTATATATCGCTAATATCATCAGAAAAAATATTTATATTGCTTTTAATAATGGATCCTAAACAAATAAGGATGCGTCTTATTATTTTATTTTATGCGACAGTCGTTTAATAAATGATTTCTGCATGCTCCATTGCATCAAATACTTCTTATGTTCATTTTGTCATTTGGGTAAGAATCATGCTCAGACATAAAACTGTTGAAACATGGTATAGCTATAGATTATCTAAAAATAGCTTGACTGCACAGTATCAAACTTCTTGTTTTGTCATAACCTTTGTTTCCTTCCTAAAGATACAAATTATCAATTTAATGGGATAAGCGAAAATTCAAAGTTATATATTTAACTAAAATCCTCGGAAACATTCACAGGACAATTTTCGCAGTTTTTTCCAAAATCGTTATTTTGATGGAATATCAATAGTTTGCCTTCAAAAACTATATTCCGAATTTTCACTTTTTTCATGAACGAAAAGTAACAAAACTTGCCTCTCAAGGACAAAGGTCAAACATAATATTATGCACCAAAGCTGTGAGGTGATAAGTTCTAATATCATATAATAATTTTTCAACATTATCTGACGTTGAATGAATGAATCTTAAAATTAGAGGCATCCCGGCCACCATAAGGAGCCAGTGCATAGGCCACTTAAGCGGGCCCTTATGCACCTCTACAATCCTTAAATCACAAGCCTCGCCCTTTTAGCGAAGTTGAGAATCGCCTTGAGTCCAAGCTCCTTGACGTCCTGAGGGTCCAAAGTAATGGACCCCAGTATAGTCTGCCTATAATAGCTCAGAGCTTCACAGCGACACAAAACGTGCGCCGAGGTCTCTTCCTCTACTCCGCAGCGTTCGCACAAGGGATCCTCAGCCACTCCCATCACGTGCGGGTGACGCCTTAACGTGTTATGGCCCGACAACAGTCCCACCAGCAACCTTAGGTTGGCTCTATCCAGAGATAGGCAGAAGCGTCCATCCTTAGCACTGGGCCCTTCAATGAACTCTCGTGCCTGGCGGAGATGTCTAGAGATACTTCTCCATTTCTGAGAGTGTTGTCTTGCAACCCACGTCTCCATTTTCCTCCTAGCTTTATGCGCGGTCACTCCTAGAGCTGGCTCAGGACCAACGAGCTTGCTGGCTGATCCTGTTTTCGCCAGAGTGTCCGCCGTCTCATTGCCCCTTATCCTAGCGTGCCACGGTACCCATATTAACGATACCGGATGCCTCGCTGCGAGGCAATCCAGAGCCTCCCTGCATTGCAATACAAGACTCGAAGTAATCTTACAGGCACTTAGTGTTTTCATTGCAGCCTGGCTGTCGGATAAGATTGTTATTCTTCTCCTAGGCCCACCCTCCTCCAGAATGTGAGATACACAAGCCAGAATCGCAAAGATTTCCGCCTGGAAAATGGTGGTGTATCCACCGAGAGGCAGAGATAGCCTAGTTCTAGGCCCAGAGACCCCAGCACCTGAGCCCTCTTCGGTGACCGAGCCGTCCGTGTACCAGACCTGCCCGCTCACTTCGGTGAGTCCCGTTGGTAAGTTCATCAAAGAACGAAGGCCCGCTTTTACAGAGGACCTACTCAGATTCAATAGGAAGGCCATAGGCCATAGTGGATCTCCTAACAGGACACTGTCGTCTAAATCGACATATGAGGCTCTTGGGTCTGGTAGAAGAGGCCACATGCCGTTTCTGCAGAGAACATGAGGATACCAAGTGGCAAGGCTACAGTTTCAGATAGTAGGAACCACAGGTCTTACAGTGGAAAGCAACATGCAAGGCCCTTTTTTAAGCCTATGGAGTCTGGTCAAAGGGTCATGGCTGGACACAGTGCTTTAGAAATTATATGAGAGGTCACAATAGATCCACCTGGGTCGCTGTGACGTTAAGGCTGGCAAGCCAACCCTTTACTTGTGTAATCTGTAAATCTGTCCGTTGGTATCTGGAATAAAAATAATGTCCTATTGGTGGAAAATAAAGAGGTTTAAAAGAAGATCTCTTTCTATGTGTCAAAGATGTCTTCAAAAACACAAGCAAAAAAGGATAAACTGCATCATTATTGAAAAAACAATCTAATAAAAGTGCAGTTTTGTCTAGAAAATACTATATTATGTAGATTGTAGATATTGAATTACAAATATTGCATATAAGAAAAAAAGAAGGATATCCAGGGCATTTGAATCAATTGTACTATAGGGATCAAACGTGTGACATTTTATTATGATCATGCCTATGTTCTACTAATTTACAAGAAAATTTGAACATCATTCTAATAACTTGATTAATAAGTGAAACCATAGGTCTTAAATTGATTAATGTTCAAGCTGCCCTACCATTTCCAAGATACAAATTAGAAAAAAACAGAACAATATTTGTAGTAGGTAAATGAAGTCATTTAAAATTGTACCCTGCTAACTACCATTGGGTTGATGATTAAATTTTCTATTCTAAAATATTTGAAAACAAGTAGTAGTAATAGTGGGGAGGCGAATCCTGTTAACTAGGCTCCCTAGACTTTAACGCTACAAGAATGAAAACCGAAAACATTAGCACCTTACTCCCCTCTGATATAGTGATATATGAGGAGCAGACTTTCAAAAAGCGTTATGCTCTGACCCGCATAAATAGAGGAAAGTGGAAAAAATGCTGTGACAACATGCGTAGCTGCAAATGCTTGATTTTGGCGAATCAAATACCACGAAAATAGATAGGCTTTGATGGTGAAGGAGGATTACCTGGAAAACAAAGAAATTCCATTTTTTGACCAAAAGTAGATTCTATTTGATGCACTTTGTTTGAAGGTGAAATAAGTCCTTCTGTTTGGGAAACGGTAACTTAAGTCAAAATACCTTTATTCCATTTACCGATGAATATAATCTTATAAAAAATAGGCTTAGAGAAAAATATTCAAACTTTCACTCCACCATCATCCTCGGTGCAGTTACATACTTCTTGGGCATTATCTTCATCATTGTCTTCATCACTATTCTCTTGTAGCTCTTCAAGGGGCTCTGGAAAAATAGGACGAAGCCATTACAATTCCTCATCCTCACGCCATCTTTCTGTGGATAGCTGCACCAAAAGATTATGAAGACTTTTCAACTTTGTCCTTTTTATTTCATGATTCAAAGGCAACCTTGGAAACTCAAGTTTTCAATCTTCTTGTTTTTTTAACAA